ACTGGAGGAAGCTGGCAGTGGCCCAGGATGGACCACGAGGGACAGCAGCTCTGAGAAGTGGGGACTCCTCACTGCATTGTGGCCCGGCCCCTGTGAACGCAGATGGAAAATGACCACCCACAAGACTTAGTCCTCGGAGCCTGGCAGCTAGAGAGGAGGGTACCACCCTGAAGGTGATGACCGAGGGGTGCCTGAGTAGGGACTCGTGGCCAGCCATGCTCAGTGGCACACCGCAGGACCCCTGAGACAGAGTTCTGGGCCATCGCCTCAATTCCAAGGCCTTTAATCTGAAGCTAGTGTAGCTCCGCTGGCCCCAGGTCCCCCCCCGTGGCCATGCCCCACCCCACGCCTGCTGCCTCCTGACCCCCTTCCCAAGCCCTCCCTCCTCCCTCCTCCCTCCAGGGCGGCCCTCTCCAGTCTCCTAGGTGGGTACCAGTGAAGGCGCTACCCGGGAATCCCCGGCTGCCCCCTGCACCAGCGTGGCCACGGCCTTGGGCCCCGTGCTGTGGATCTTCTCGTGCCGGTGCAGGTTGGCGCGGCGGCTGAAGCTCTTGCCGCACAGGGGACAGGTGTGGGGCCGGATGCCGCGGTGGGTGCGCTGGTGGGCGGCGAGGCGCGTGCTGTGGCTGAAGCTCTTGCCACATTCTAGGCAGTGGTAGGGTTTCTCGCCGGTGTGGGTGCGTTTGTGGGCGATGAGGTTGGAGCTGTGGCTGTAGCTCTTGCCACACAGGGGACAGGAGTAAGGCCGGACGCCGCGGTGGGTGCGCTGGTGGGCGCTGAGGCGCGAGCTGTGGCTGAAGCTCTTGCCGCACTCAAGGCAGTGGTAGGGCTTCTCGCCGGTGTGGGTGCGGTTGTGGGCGATGAGGTTGGAGCGCTGGCTGAAGCATTTGCCGCACTCGGGGCACGGGTAGGGCTTGACCCCGGTGTGGGTGCGCTGGTGACTGACCAGGGCCGAGCTATGCGTGAAGCACTTGCTGCAGACGGGACACTTGTGGGGCTTGGCGCCCGTGTGGGTGCCCTGGTGGG